AGCCTGTGTTTTATTATTTTACATGTTGAGATCTTACTTATCTTTAACTTTAGTTATCAGTGTGTAACACTTTAAAATATATCAATTGTATTTAAAATTTTTATTTTCTTTTTGTTGCTTGTTACATAAAATACCCAAGTTACTTTAGTGTTTTTATCTTACATTTAGTGACTTTACTGGTCACCTAATAATTGTTCTGATCATTCCTTTGGATTTCCTAGCTGTATCATTTATGAATGATTGTTCTGTTTGTTCTTTTATAGTCCTTATACCTCCTCTTTGTTTTTCTAAAGGAATTAATTAGATTGAATGTTCTAACTTTAAAGGAATTAGAATGTTGAATGAAACAGTAGTAGTGGTCATTCTTAGCATGTCCCACCATTGGTAAACATGATGTTTGCTATAGAATTTTTATTCTTTTTGAGACTAAGCATGTTCATTTGATTCCTGGTTTTCCGAGTTGTTATTGTGGTGTAATGTTGACTTTTATGGGGTTTTTTTGTCTTGTTTTCTGTTGTTTTGTTTTTGGTTTTTGTTTGTTCAAGACAGGGTTTTTCTGTATAGCCTTGACTGTCCTGGAACTCGCTCTGTAGACCAGACTTTTAGGTTTTTAATATATCCACATTGAAGTATTTCATACTTTTTTGAGATGTTTAAAAATGTAGCACAGATGGGCCTAGAATTTTCAGTGATCTACCACCTCAGCCTCAGGAGCACTGGTTTTATAGGCTCAAGTTATGTGCCTGGCTTAGAAAATTGTCAATTTTATCGATGTTAAACCATCATTGATTGCCCCTGTGATTATATGTAAAATTGTCCTAGAATGCCCTTCCCTTAAATGTACTTGCGTTTTTCGAATTTGTGTAAAAATAACTTAGGCAAGGCATCATGACACATGCCTTTAATCCCCCAGCCTGAGGGAGGCAGAGGCAGGTGGATCTCTGTAAGTTTGAGGCTAGCCTGGTCTACATAATGAGTTCCAGGCTAACCAAGACTACATAGTGAGACCCTGCCTCAAAATAAATAAATAAACAATCAAACAAATAAATTGGGACATAGTCCTGTAGCATGAGTCCTAATTGGTCTTAATAATAAAAACCCAGAGCCAGATATTGGGGTAAATGCTGAAAGATCAGTAAATGTGCCAGCTACTAGAGGGACTTCTTTCCTCCTTAGCATCCTCAACCTGAAAGAGCCAAGCTCCTATCTCCACCCCACCTTATCACTTCCTCTTTCCGCCCAGCCATATCACTTCCTGTTTCCTCCTCCCAAGTGCTGGGAATAAAGGCATGAGATCCCAAGTGCTGGGCAAAAGGTATGTGCCACCACTGCTTGGCCTCTAGTGGCTAGCTCTGACTCTGATCTCCAGGCAAGCTTTATTTGTTAGAACACAAACAAAATATCACCACATAGTCCATTTTAATTCTGTGGAAGAATGTATCTGCTAGATTTTTAATAGTTTACTATGCATACTTAACCCTTTGGTGCTGACTAGAGCTTTGTCTATGTCTTTACTTCTCCTGATACTTTATTCAAATCGTTTGAAGCCATTAAGAAATGGCTATAGATATATAGACATACAAATTTGGAAATGTTATATCTTCTTCATAATTTAGCTTTTGTCACTCTAAAATATCTTTCTATTATAAATGGCACTTCTCACCCTATGCTAAGCTTTTATGTTTAGTTTCTTGTCTCTCTATGTAGTCCTGAAACTTGCTCTGTAGATCAAACCAGGCTGCCCTCAAAAATCACAGAGGTGCTCCTGTCTGTCTTTCAAGTGCTGGGATTAAAGAGTACATGACCTGCAACTTTTCATTATTTTTATTTTAAACTTTTTGTTTGAGACATAGTATCACTCTGTAAACCAAGCCTGAAACTCATGTATTCTAGGATAGTTTCAAACTCAGAGCCTCCCAAGTGCTAGCATTACAGATGAGCCACCACATCAGCTGCTTTTAACTGTTTTGAGTATTTTATATGTAGCTCTTAAATATCATGTTTCTGACAATTTTTCAATCTTAACAGGAACATTTATTTGATCAGTATACAGTTAATGCTGTTGATACTATATTTGGATTTAAAAAAAAAATTTTTTTTCCAAGACAGGGTTTCTCTGTGTAGTTTTGGTACCTGTCCTGGATCTCTGTCTATAGACCAGGCTGGCCTCCAACTCACAGAGATCCACCTGCCTCTGCCTCCCGAGTGTTGGGATTTTTTTTATAAGTATTTTGCCTGCATGTGTATCTGTGTACCACAGGCATGCTTGGTATCTGAGGAGGCCAGAATAAGGGGTCTGATGCTCTGGAATTGGAATTACAATGTTTGTAAGCCACCATGTGAATGCTAGAACTGAACCCAGGTCTTCTGTGAGAGCAGCCAGTGTTCTTAACCACTGAGCCATATCTCTAGCCCCTATGTTTATATTTTAGGTTGGTTTTTATTGTGCAGATTTTGTTTGTTTTGCCTGATGTGTTCCTTTTTCCTTTCTGGCCTTTTTTGTTCTTTTTTATTGCCTCTCCCTTACTTGATATTATCCCATTTTAGTCTAAAGATCACATCATTAACCTATACCCTTTCAGTGTTCATTAATTGGTGCTTTTTATCATTTCCTAGATAATGTGAAAGGACTTTAATGTGTTATTGTCTGATTTCATTGCTATTAGCAGATTTTCTTTCTTTCTTTTTTTTTTTTTTTTGCTGTTTGTAGATTTTAAATACAAAACATTTTGTTTTCGGTAGTCTGTATATTGTCATTGTGTGTTTTTGTTCCTGAATCTCGAACTTTTCTTTTGGGCATTTCCTCCCTGCCATTGAGAACTTCTTTTAGCTTAGATCTGCCTGGACCAAATTTTCCTTGTCTTCTCTTTCTCTACTTTATTCCTGAAGATTTCTGTTCAGTTCTAGATTGGTGGCAACTTGTTCCTTTCATAGCCTAAAAAAAAATATCATTTCATTGGTGTGTGTGTGTGTGTGTGTGTGTGTGTGTGTGTGTGTGTGCGCGCACACGCTTGCTTTTTGTATTCGGCTTATTTTTTTCTTCCATTATTTCTGTGGAGCTTAGAAATCTAATTATTGCTATTTGTTTGCATGGAATTTGTTTTTGTTTGTTTCTGACTGCTTTTAAGATTTTTTTCTTGGCTTGGGTTTTTAGTAATGTTTCTAAATGCAGATCTTAACATTGATTTTTTTTAATGTCTTATGACTTAGCATATCAATATCTACTACCTCTATTCACTTAGTATTTAAACGTATTGTGGGTCTTTTTTTTTTTTACTGTTTTTTTTTTCCTGTTTTACCATCTTCTATGAAATTTTCCTTTTGTGTTGGTTTCTAAAAAATATCCAAAATCAAGCCAGGAGAAAGACTTGACTTCCATTCTACTTAATTCGATTATGTTTTCCCACCTGCTTGAACAGTTTATTTTTAAGTTTGTCTGATAGCCATAATTCTTCAGAGCTTTTGTTTTCATTTGCATTGTCTTATCTCCCTTTTTTTGATTTTTGGGTTGTTTGTTTATTTTGTTTTTCGAGACAGGGTTTCTCTGTGAGCTTTGTCCTGGAACTGGCTCTGTGACCAGGCTGGTCTGGAACTCAAAGAGATCTGCCTACCTCTGCCTCCCAGTGCTGGGATTAAAGACGTGCGCCACCACCTCCCAGCTGACTTATCTCCTTTTATTCCTGGTTATTTTTTATTTGAAAAATGATTTGTAGAAAGTATTTTGAGGACTGGGATGACATTGCTTACCTACAAAGAGTAATTTTATTTTTTGCAAGATCCTTGGGCACTAGCAGTTCATCATTTTAATCCAGTCTTAGAAGTTTAAAATTTTTGTACCAAATATATATAGACCATTTAGATGATTTGAAGCTCGGCTATCACATCTGTAAGAACTGTGATAATTTCAGTTTACCCTTCTGTCTAGAATGCAAACCTTGGGGATCCCAGTGTTAGGCATGGAGGTTTTATGGGGCAGCAACTCATACCCTTTTATTCTGTACATCAGTTGTTGGCAAGCTTTTTCTCTGAAGGATCATGGAGTATGTAATTTTAGGTTTTGTATGCCATCTCTGCCACTGTTGAACAAAACAGCCATAGATAGTTCATAAATAATAATGAGTTTATTCTGATAAAGATTTGTAAGCACGTATATAGGCTAATGTAGCTCCTGACTATTGCTGGACTGTGCTGTAGTTACCAACTATAATATGTTCAAAGTTCTGCTCAGACTCCGCCATCTCTTCTGAAACTGCAAATCACTAGTAAGTGCTGGACCTTTTTTGCCCCTTAGATACCCAGTATTTTCAAGCATGTGTTCGTTTTTTTTATGTTGCTCTAATTGTCTTGGCAGGAGATTCAATCTGTTAAATCTAGTCAACTATAACCAGAAACTAAAAGTCATATGTAAGGTAACATATTTAAAACAGTAGTGAGGTTTTTCCCTCCCTCATGTCAAAAATAGAAAATTCTTAAGAAAACATCACAATAGTGATCTCTTGTATGTTGTTTTTCCCTGTAAAACTTGAGTTTCAGGACATGTTTTTTTGATCTGCCCAGTGAGAGATTGTCCTTACAAGGTTAAAGCTGTTAAGCATTGTCAGAATTTCTTACAATGTTGAAAATAACATATATCTTCAATGTTAGTGTGGTAGCCACTGTCTGCCTGTGGCTCTGGGACAGCTGAAATGTGGCTCCTGTGACTACATAACTCAGTTTTAATTGGCTTGAAGCTGTTTAGTGCACAGCTTGGATTAAAAGAAGCCTCTCACCTCAGCACGGCGGTTCTTAACACCCAGGGCTGGAAATGTATATCCTTGTTTCAGTGTTCTTGATAGAACTCTTCTAACCTAATTGGTTGGAGTTATGGTATCTTACTAAATATCCTATGCCTGTTCAGTCCTTTCATTCTCATGATGTGATGGAAGGACACCTGTTATCCAAAGTGATCAACGTAAAACTGACACAGGTAGTTTACTTTCTGAAATCAATTTTCTCTGCAGGGAAAGGGGCGCATGCATCGTGGAAACTATCCAAGTCCATCCTCTCCTGTTATAGTCCGATTGCCTTCCATGTCTGATGTCCCTGAAGAGACCATGACTAGTGAGACAGCCATGGAGACTGACATCACAGAACAGCAGCAAGCAGCAATGCAGCAGGAGGAGAAAGTGCTGACTGAGCAGATTGAGAACTTACAGAAGGAGAAGTAAGTGTCCAGACAAGAGGAGATAGCGGTGTCTTGTGTTTCCTTCCTTCTACCCTTTATTTTTCTCATCATTCCTTATCTCCTGTGTCAAGTGCTATGTCAGGTGGTCCACGGGATGTGGCGTTATCAGAGACTTGTTGCCTGTGCTCAAGGTGAGTGTGGAAATTCTCACCTCAGGGAAGGACATTGCATGAGATAGGAATATTGATGTGAGCAGTGGGAATAGGAGAGTATACATACCTAGTGTATGTGTCTTAGTCCATATTCAACAGGCATGAACAATGGAGAGCCAAGATGAGGTATTACAGGCTTGACAAGTCAGAGACCAGCCTGCATAAACAGGTGTGTTTTTCAAAAAGAAGAGTAAGAGTCCCTTGGCTAAGACAGAGTTCTCTCCATGCACAGGCATTAGTTGCAGTTACATAAAGGAATAATAACGTGTTATTATTTAGAAATCAGTATGACCATGGGCCTAACAACTAGATAGAATAAGGCAGCACCTGCACTAGGTTCTGGGATACTGGGTAGAGAAACTTGTTGTGATTTCAAAGAGGAAAGCTAAGAAATTCTGTTCCCTCCATCACTCTGGCAGGAGTGGGTTGACATTACCCCTTAGGAAGATGAATATCCCATGGCTCTCCCTGAAGGTACTATGTACTAGTTCTGAAATGACATGGATTACTCTTTCAAGAAATCCTAAAGGTTTCCTTGAGTCCCTATAGCTCATTTCTTAGGTTTGAGAACTTGATTCATGAAGAATTAGGAAACTTGAATGTCAGTATTGATTCTGGAATTTAGGGCAACTGAAAAGCAGCTAAGGCTCAGCTGTGGAAAAACTGAGGCAGTAGTTACTTAACCAGGGGCTGAAAAGATGACCTACCTCAGCTCTGGTCTTAGAGAGGGATAAATAGGAAATGGTTAGGAAAGAGAAAGTGCAGAAGTATAAGCATAAATCTCAAACATGTGACTGCACATGGAAGTAGTGAGCAACTGGTAAGGCTGTGCTTAAAAAGATGGTCTGTGGAGTTCAGATTTTTCAAATAGAAGTAAGGCTGGGAAGGGTCTGACAGGAGGAGACTTGATCTAAAGAAAAAACCAGAGTCAGAGCTAGCAGATTACCAGGAATTGACAAGCTATATGATCTGTTCACTGGAAAAAGTTAATAATGTAGAGGAAAAAAAAGTTGCAGACATAAAGATATTTTGGTACTAGATTTTGAAGTGAGTTTTTGTGAAGGTACTAATTGAAATAAAGTGTTGCTAGGACCCTAGTAAGGAAATAAGGTTAGAAGCCAAATCTTTGTAACTTAGTAAAATGAAAGGATATCACTGAAATACAGGTGCATGATCCTGATAAATTAGAATATACTGTAGCCAGAGATAATGTAAGCCTCACAGGCCAAAAAAGTGCAATGTGTTTTACTTATCCAAAGGCCTTGGTGTGATCAAGGTAGAAGATAAAGTCTGTGTTTAGTTAGTTAAGCTTCTATTTGTCGAACATAATCTAAGAGCGAAAAAGAATTTTGGAGACAGTCTAGTGTGTTTTCTGGATGAAAAGGCTGAGGTCCAGAGAGAGAACAGTACTTGCTGATATTTCATGCATGAATTTAGAATCTTGAATTTTAATTTTAGAGATTGAATTTTAGAATCTCTAGTTTTCAGTCCAGAGTTCATCTCAGAATGTTTGTTATAGCAGCCTGCCTCAGCCTGTCTACCCCTAGCCTCACCATTCCTGTCATCTCCTATTTTCATCCACCTATTACTTTGCATATAAATAAATCCTCTTCATCACCTTGGTGGGACAATAAGAAATGTCTTTGCCATTTAGCTTCCTTGCTTTCATGGAAAGTCTTCTGTCATCTTTCTTCTGCTTCCTATCATGTTAACAAGTTTGTTGATTGTATCTTCTAGGGAAGAACTAACATTTGAGATGCTTATATTGGAACCTCGTGCCTCTGATGACGAAACCCTTGAGTCTGAGGCCTCCATTGGGACTGCTGATAGCTCAGAAAATTTGAATATGGATTCTGAAGGTACCATTTTTGAGAGATCTGATAAATGAATATATGACACTAGAGACACAATTTGTTTTGTAAAGAAGGAATAAGAATTCTCAAGCTAGGCTGGAGGGATTGTTCAGTGATTAGGAACACTCACTGGATGCTCTTCAGAGGATCTGGGTTCAATTCCCAGCATCCACATGGTAGCTTACAACTGTCTGTAACTCTAGTCCCAGGAAATCTGATGCCCTTTTCTGGCCTCTGAGGGTGCCAGGCACTTGGTGCATATACATACATGCAAGCAAAGTATCCACACACAAAAAAATATATTAAAATATTTTTTAATGGTTTAAAATAAAAAAAAAAAAATCTCCAAGCCAGGCGTGGTGGCACATACCCTTAATCCCAGCACTCAAGAGGCAGAGGCAGGTGGATCTTTTGATTTCAAGGCCAGCCTGGTCTACAAATCCAGGCTCCAGGACAGCCAGAGCAATTACAGAGAAACCCTGTCTTACATAAAATTCCCAAGTTAGTTGAGTCTGTTTTACAAATGCACTGATCTCACATGAAAATATGACAGATTCCTAAGGAATCACAGGTCTTTGTGATGCTTCCTCATTATTCATTAGACTCACACTCAGTGTAATGCAATTGGTAATTTAATTTTGGTAATTTAATTTTGGTAACTTACCATGGGGGGAAAAGCCAGTAATCTCAGTGCATGTCCATCTCATGGCTATTTCCTAAGAATGAATGCCAAAACTGTGCCCTGTTGTGAGGTGGAACTGTTACACCAAAGGAGGTGTTTAATTGTGTATCTCAGGGAGACAGAGCCTTTGGAATAATGGTGACTATTGTAGGTCTCTGCTGGCCTCATACTCAAACATACCAGACTTCCCTGGGACTTACTATGAAGTATTTGTGGAACTGGATGAGAGGGTTTGTCTGTTTGTAGACAAGGTCTCACTTTGTAGTTCTTGGCTGGCCTGGAACTTATATAGACCGGCCTCAAACTCAGAGATTTATCTACCTCTGCCTCCCAAGCTCTGGGATTAAAGGTGTGCACCACCAGGCCCAACCCAAGAGAGCTTTTTAAGTAATGGTTCTGCACAAAGTAGATCAACTAGACCCTCACAACTTTGACCCATTTATTTTCACATGTGAACACTGGCTTCTATTCATCCCTTGATGTTTCTTAAGAGACACTGTCATGTACAATTTTGTCTTCTGTGTTTACATTAGAGAGAAGCTTAGCCCTTAGCTCCCTGAAAACAGCTGCCAAGTCTGAGCCTTCAAGCAAGTTTCGAAAGCCACTGAGAAAGCAGCCAGACTCTGTGGACTCCTCCGTCTCTTCATGTTTATCTAACACTACATCATCTCATGGCACTAGAAAGCGATTTCAGATTTATTCCAAGTCTCCATTCTACCGAGCTGCCTCAGCTTGTGAGGCCCTGGGAACGGAAGGACCACTAGGCCAAGCCAAATCCCTAGAAGACAGGCCTCAGTTCATCAGCAGAGGAACTTTCAACCCTGAAAAGGGCAAACAAAAACTCAAGAATGTGAAAAATTCACCTCAGAAAACCAAAGAGACCCCAGAGGGGACAGTCCCATCTGGCCGAAAGAAAACTGTGGACCCTGACTGTGGCTCTGCACAGCAGCTACCACTCTTTGGAAATAATGAGTTTATGGTTTGAATGACAGATGCGTCCCTGTGTGGCTAGAGTGGTGAACACATCTCATCTTTGGAGCCTCTGCTGGTCACTTTGTCCGTAACAGTCAGTCCTAATGGTTCTGCCTCTTGTTTCAGCAGTTTGTGTGCTGGATCGCTGGGCTTCCTGCAGAAGTGGCCTCTTTGAAGCTTGCTAGGGATGGGCCCACTGTGCCTTGGCTGCTGTATTTGAGATTCCACTAAACAAAGCCACCTAGGGGGATTTTGGCCAACAGTAGTTGCCTCTCCCCCACCAACCCTTCCCTTCCCACAGATAGTTGTTGAACTAGGAGGCTGTTGTGATCCTGAGGAATGCTCTCATTTCTAGCATTTGAAGAAAATATACAAACCTCTCTTAACCATGGAAGCAAAATTTTTGAGTTTGTATTGGGATAGTAGCTGTGGTAGAATATATTTTCCACAAGGATTTATAAGCAAAAAGCCCAAGCCATCTATTTTAAATTTAATTTAAAAATACTCCATGTTATATTTTGGAAACATAAACTATGATTTCCATTAAGCCATCACAGCATGTCTCGGTTATCTGGTCCTACAGTGAAGAGACCATGCTTTATCTTTTGTTGATGTTGATATCATAGTAATCAGTACTGGTTAGTTCCTGCCAAATATATTGCATGGGATAAAGTTCTGGTAGCCATACTGTCCTGATTATCAGATCAGATTCCTCTAGTCTTTGTTTGTTTTCTATGTCACAGACACATTTAGGTAATCCCTAAATGTGAAGGCTTTGTCTTGATCGGCCCAGGCTTTTGTTCTTGTATAGACTAAACTGAAGACTGTATGGGAGCCTGTTCATCTGGTGGTGGAATACCACCATAGACTCAGACAGATAATGTGACCATGTAGTTACTTCTCTACAAGTCCTCACATACAACATTGCATGAGTGTTATAGAAAGCTGCCAAAAGAAATGTAGAAAGTTTTCATATGATCTATTTAACTTTTATCTTCTTTTTTCTCAGACCATCAGTATTAGATGAAAAAAAATCAAGGACTACTTGAAGCTATTTTTGTTAATATACTTGTTCCTGAAGTTTACTGTAAATACACATGTATAGTATGCCTAGTTCTTTTTAACTTTGTGCTTCCCCCTTCTTCCCATGGAGTTTCTTCCTACAGATGAGTGGTCATTGGACAGGTGGTGAGAACCATTCACCCCTGGGTTGAGGGAAAGTAAGGGCATCTTTTTCATTACTGGTGGTCTCCATGTACCTAAGTTATAATGTCTGAAACATCATGTACTAGCAGTTGTGAGACTAGAAATCTTTTTGCTATTTATAATGTATGTGAAATGAAACATGATACCCTTTCTTAAGTATGTGAAAATGTTTATTTTAAAGTCACTAAATACATTTTGTCTAACTACCACATGCACTGTTACAAAAAGAGCCTTTACCACCTATAACCTGAATTTTGGTTTTCTTCATTTTCTTTGGTTTGAAGTTATGGGAATCGTAAGTTTTTGTTAAGGCAGGGTCTCCTCTTACACAACACTGAACCTCATGCCACTGCTTCAGTGGTCATTGGCCGGCTCTAGAGATGAGACTTGTAGCGTCATTCTGCGCAGCGGCTCATGGTAGCAGGAGTCTTCCCTCTCCCTGGTCTGAGTTCAACGTTGAGACACATGAAGGATGCTTTGAAAATCTCCCCAATGATGATGGTCAATCAGTAAATGCTAAGTTTTACGTCCCACAAGCATTAACAATAAGAATGTTGGGCACTGTGTCCTAAAGGAACCCAGTATGGCTGTGTCAAGGTGGGGTACTGCTTTGGGCCTTGAGGACTACACACAGTTTTAATAATGGGAAGAGCAGCTACAGCTAGGTGTTAACTGTTGCTCTCCACTTGGGTCAAAAACGTTACTAAAATATTTTCTTTTTTTAAGCTGTTGAACAATTTCCTTTGTTTCAAAGGAATGGCCTGGAGAACTCAACACAGGACACACAATTCTCCCACCTAAATTTTTCAGTTTGGTTTTTGTTTTGTTTTTCTATAAGGTAAATTTGGGGCCGAGAAAAGACTACCTTCATAGGTCGCTTTGTAGGAACAAGGTAATTGATATTAAAAGACTTTATAATTTTTCTCAGGGACCTAAAACCTGAATTTGAATAAAGTTAAATAAAAACATTTTTTTCAGTTGCTAGATTTGTGAATTTCTAATCATTTAACAAGCTGCCAAGATGAGGTGGGGAAATCCACACAGTCCTAAGAATGTCTCAACAAGTGTAGGCCCTCCTTTGAGGAAAAGAAAGCTACTGTTCCTGTGGGTCAGGAGGCACTACTGGTCTGATGGAGATGAAGCCCAATACTGTCAGAAGCAAATGTTCTACTTCCATCAGTTTTTATCAGGGCTTCTGCATCACCACATACGACACTATTGCAGTCATTCAGGATACAGTCCACACCAGGGTCACAGTTCTGTTGCTTCTGCCTCGCTGCTTTTCTTCAATCTCAAAATGCATCAAAAGAATCTCTCTGGCACCAGCAGAGTGGCTCACATGTGGAGCCTGTTCCCCAAACTTCAGAGCATTCTAGTTACATCACATACTTCTAGCGCTCAGTAACATCTACACTTTCTTTTCTACCCATTCACTAATATGTGTCTGGAGCTGTGTATCACAGAAAATGTAGCAGAAGCAAATTCATTCTGCATCACAGATTGAAGCAAATTGCAGCAAATGCATACAGGATTCAGGGAGGCAACATGCTCAGTTTGCACATAATTTATACTTCCTGCTGTTTAGCTATAATTGGCCACTGGGCTTCTGAAACATACAGGGAGATATGACCCTCTTTCTCTGAGTGTTACTAGGAGAGACAGAAAGATGTGAGTTCAGGGCACAGGTCACTATGGCCAACTCTCGGTCTTTGGAAATCTGTCACTCTTACCTTGCATAGGGTGTGAAGATATTATGTGTTTCACAAAGACAGGGTCACAGAAGTGTGCTGACAGGTGATCAAGGGAGGTTATATTGTTCCACCTCTATGCCTGTGAGCTGTGTTTCTAACTGTAGCTAATAAGCTAGAGAGAAGAAAGGATTCTCCGGAGGTGTATGAAGTTCAGAGAATTGTAACCATAGAAAGCTGTCCAGATGGCTTTTCTCACCCACTTTTAAGTCTTGGTGGGGAATGGACCTGCATTCCTCTGTATTGAATGGTGTGTTATATGCACCCACACACTTGTGATAACTTCCCAGCACTGTGCCCCAACACCATGCTGGCCTTAGTAGTAAGATTTTTACGTATTTGTAGGAGACCCGACTTTTTGTGTCCCTAGGGTACTTGAGACCGCATTTCTCTGGAACATTTCCACACTTGATTTAGAGTTAAATGGGTAATCTCCATTGTATTAGATCTTATTGATCTCTTGGTTTAAACTTCAAGAAAAGCTCTACCAATGGGTCTGTCGCCTTGTTACCCATCCATTCTTAATGCCTATTTATCAGCCCTCTTAGGTCATATAAAAGTTGCACCTCTTGAGCAAAGTATTTGTATTTACTATGGGAAAGGTGTGGACTACAGATTAGTATTATATTATTTTAATGGATTTAAAGTAATTTATAAGTATGGTGAGTGTAAATTTTTAAAATACTGTGTATTATAAAAGGACATATCCTGTGAAATATGCCACCTTACTGTTTAAGAATTCTATAAGAATGACTTATCTCATTCACAGAACTGATTACATTCCCAATGCAATCAGCAGCACTTTGTAATTTACTTTTTTTTTTTTTTTTTTTTTTTTTTGGAGGGGGCAAGACATTTGTATGAAGTGTAGTTTGCGTCACTCAGAATATGCACTGTATGGCTACACAAAAGCAGCTTGCTGAACAAATCACTCCATGGCTCATTAAAGAACAAAGCTTCCAGAAGTACAATATGTGTGGTTTATTTTCTGGCTCCCAATCAGATTCATAACCCAAAGGAACAGCACTAATTTCTTATACTGATAAAATTAAAGGAAAGGACCCAATTCTCAGTTGATAAGTACAGAAGTGACTACTATTAGGACTCAGCTGAATTCAGAGGAGGAGCAAGCCAAGGTACTGGTCTGCTGCCTGTCAAGACAGGCTAGAGGGAATCCCAAGATGAAAGACGAGAGGCACTTAGCACTCACTTCCTGTGAAGAAAAAACCCAAACAAACGTATAGCTGCATTTTGAGGTGAGCAATAGTTAAGAACATCAGACCCAGCTGGGTGGTGGTGGCACATGCCTTTAATCCCAGCACTCAGGAGGCAGAGGCAGGCGGATCTCTTGAGGCCAGGCTGGTCTATAGAGTTGAGTTCCAGGACAGCCAGGGCTGTTACACAAAGAAACCCTGTCTCGAAAAAGAAAAAAAAAAAAAAAAAAAAAAAAAACCCAAAACCATCAGAACCTTGTGAGACTCAGAGACTGGAACAAAGTCATAGAAAGAGAAACAAAATAACATGGCACCCGCACCCCCCATCCCATAACGATAGAGATGCAGGTGAAAAAAGGCTCAGCTCTCACAGCTAGTGTGGAAGCTGGCAATCCAGCTGTTGGAAGGTTTCATCATCCACACTGGCTTGCTGTCTAATTAGATAAGTAATCTAAAGTCTATACAGCATCCTTGCTTTGAAAACAATTTTTACACCATCTCTCTATGAACCTTCAGTGCTGTAGCCAAGAGCTACTTAAGAGAACTTTTGTTTGAATCTGGATGGCTCCAGAAGTCAGAAAATCCTACATGTTCCTGTCTGAGAACCCACAGACATTGTACTGTAGTAGCTCATCAGCTAGCTGCCTTGTAATCCAAACTTTGCCCAATAATTGAGTTGAACACACTGGGTAGTCTGCACTCTAGGTACATATTACAACAGGGCGGGGAGTAGAGGTTGTTGGCGATAGTGTCATGAGTAAGAACGAGGGGAGCATATTGCTGTATCTGAACATGACTAGGCAAGCAGTCCCTTTAGTGGTGTCAGGCCTGAGTTCTAGAGGCTCACGATAGGCTTCTAAATCTAGACACTTAGCTCTCTTAATCTTGAGAACTTCTAGTAACTTAATGGTTCTAAGCCTTCAAAGCTGGAGGCTCACATCTTTGGCTGCTCAAGGCAGAAGCTTACTGCCCTGGGCTTAAGCGAAGCAACACCTAGTGGCTGGAGTTCTAGCTCTTAAGCTATGGGTATTGGAACCCTTGGCTCTTGAATCCTCAGCTCTCTTCCAAACTCTAGCAAGGGGGATGTGCGGGTTTTGTAGACTCAGCTCCCATATTAAAGCCTCCTCGTCCATAACCATAGCTTCTCTACCTTCAGTACCTCTACCATACTTTATAGTTAGTTTCTGTTCTCTGGAATTGATAGCATAGTTTTCTGAGGGTATTAGAGCCTTCAGCTCCTGCTACTCTAGAACTCTTCAACTGCCTTCTCACTGTGCCACCCAGGTTTCTGTCTATTCTCCATGCTATGTGTCGGCAAAAGACCTCACAAGATGCCTTTATTAGGGCCTAATGATGCAGTTCCAGGAAGCAGTGCACAGGAGAGAAGGAGCTTCCCAGACGAGCCCAAGTGGAAAATGTCCTGCTTATCCAGGAAGAGGGGGGTGGCATGCTTATGCACAGATTATAATTTCACCAGTCACAGATTCTAGTTTTGCTGCACTAATCAGACATGTTTTGCTGAGGCACTGGAATTCTTAGCCATTTCTTCACATTTCAGCTCTGAGCTTTCTGTGAGTATCAGAGCCCTCGGCTTCTGGTGACTCTGGAACTCCAGCCGCCTCCTCCAGTCCTGAGAGAGAACAGCTGCAAGGTGAACAGGATCATCTAAAGTTCACAAAGGCTTGTTTTGCCTGGAGGTGGCATCTTGTACAGTTGGCATATGTTCCCTAGAGCCAGGCCTCCTGATGACTTCAGTAGTGATGTGGTTGCAGTTATCCTAGCAGCTGCAGTAAATTTCCCACAGTGTTCAAAACAGGCAGGCTGCCTGGCTTGCCAAAAAAAAAAAAAAAAAAAAAAAAAAAAAAGGCAGGGGGAGCTGCCTAGGGGTTGGCAAGAGGCTTGGTGGATAAAGGCACTTACAGCCAGGGCTGATGAACTACTCCTGGGACTCCTATGGTGGACAGAAATAACTCATTCCCAAAAGTTGTCCTCTGACCTCCACAAGCACGAGGACATGTGCACTTGTACATACAAACATGCAAGTCAATAAGTGGGAATCATAGCTCTAGTAATAGATCCCAAAGAAACAGAAATGGATGGGGTTTTTTAAGCTCAGTGAAATCTAAAAGAACACAAACATTTAAGTACGTACAAAAAATGCCAGGATGTGTATACGGTACTCGGCAAAGAGAATTTTTTAAAAAACCAAATCTTAGGAGTGAGGCATCCATAATGTGTCAACTAAAAAATTGGATTGAAAGCCTCAATAATAGATTAGAGTGTGTGGAAGGAAAAAATGTCTAAGCTTGAGTACAGGTCTTTTTAAATAACTCATCCAGGCCAAAAAAGAAAAAAAGAAAAGAAAGAAAAGAAAAAGCACACAAAATCTGTGACATGCCATTAAATCAACAAATATCCATCGATCATCAAAGGCAAGGATTAGCAGTATTGAGAAACTCTCCAATGAAATAGTGGACAGCTTTCCTAATCATGGGAAAGTCGTGTACATCCAAGTACAAGAGGCTTACAGACATGACCAGAAAAGATCTTTACCATAATATAGAACTGTCAAAAATATAAGAATTTTAAAGTCTGCAAGAGAAAAGTACCAAGACACATCTAAGTGAAACCTCACTAGACTTAGATTTTCCAGCAGAAACACTCCAGGCTACGAGGAAATAGAATGTCACTTTCCATGTTCTGAAAAAAAAAAAAAAAAAAAAAAAAAAAAAAAAACCCTGCCAACCAAGATTACTATACCCTGCAAGGCTATCAAGATAAGCAGAAATTGGGGGAAATCATGACTGCAGAAGCGGCCTTACAAAAGATGCTTAAGGAGGGACTGGACTGCATCTAGAAGTGAAAGGACTGCCACGGTGACAGCATGTGAAGACGGGAATTCCACCAGAAAAACACACACAAAAACCCAATCAGACTAATCAAATACAGCAAAGCAACTGCAAAGATGAATCAGAGATGAGGAGAAGTAGTTTTGACAATAACCAGAAAAAAATCAAGAC